CCAAAGCACCAAAATTTGGACGGTCCTAAAGTTATAATGCATAAAAAACGACCTGAATTGTCTTCCAGCTGTCTTTCACAAATGATATAACAAAAGTAACAAACTTTTTTTTGGCAAAATTTTTAATGATGGTTATTAAAATTTTTGAATTTTCAAAATATCACACATTCATCAAGGCATACATATTTACGTCATACAAAAGAAATAAAAATTTTCAGCGTTTTTGAAAAGAAAAATTAAGTGAAAAGAAAAAAGCCAATATTATCGTATCCAGGACTACGTTATGCATGCAAAAAAAAAATTTTGCTTGCGAAAATTTTTTTTGGGAAAATGTTTGCCTGCGTACAAAATTCAATTTGCGATTGAAAAAAAAACAAAAACAAGTTTTGGGGCAAAGTTTTTGTGTTGCCATGATTTTTGTTGTGTGGAATTGTATGATAACCATTTTAGGTGTATGGAGGTCAACCCGGATGATTTTTGCCAGGGTCGAACTGCCGGCTCTTCAGATGAATGGCAATTTTCGACATGTTTCAATAGTTTAGTCTTCTCCAAATGTTATTAATCCGCTGAAATCAGGTTGGACTATTTTCCGATGTAGCTTTTCACTACCCTTCTTATATTTGCTTCCGTACTATATCTCACTGCAATTTGTTCCTTATTCCTTATGCATAATTTCGTTTACACTCAATTTAACAACTGAATTAAGATTAGGTTTCTTTTAGTATTTTGGTCGTTTTTTGATTTTGTGGGCAACTACACTGAAAATTTTCAGACAATTTATAAACGACAAGTCTATTCATCATCAAAGGTTAAAAACTAAAATAGAAAATTAAACTAGTAGCCATTAGCAGCATCTCTCAACTTGATAACCAAAGCAACTTCTAGCTATAGAGTTACTACGTTTTTTTCCACAAACTCGGAAGTGACAGATTTCTTTTTTCGATGTTTTTTTTTCGAGGTACTACTTTTTTGTGAGATTCATAGCACGCTTTCACCTTCTCATGAAAGCCCGAACACTTTCTATGATGTTCCGATCTGGACTAAAGGGGGGCAGTTCGATGATTTTGACAACATTCTCAGATGTATTTTGTAAAGTAATTTTTGCTATATGAACTGGTAGTTGTTTTCCATCAGTTTCCAGCTAAATTTCGCTTATTCTTTGACAAAATATGATTCCAAAAATACCCTATAAACTTTTGAATTTTAATTTAAGGGGCTTTTGACCAGGTCAAAGTTCAAATCCAATAAACGCCCAACACATTACTGAAAAACGCGACGATTTTTTCGACAGGGTGCACCGTTATACCGTTCACCACACTTATGTTATACTCGGATATATGCGTTTGTCTCAAGAGTGGATTTTACTTTACCAGAGAACTCAATATTTTGCAGAAAACAAAACTTTTGGCCAAGAAAGGGTATTCCGCAATCTGTAGGAACTGTTTTTCCTTCCCAAATTTAACTTTAGAGCTGCAGAACTACTCAGAACCCTGTTTTTTGAGAATACGCCTCGTTGTTTCCGCCGAAACAATTTCAGGGCTTATATATTTCAAACTTGCTTCAAATTTAGCCAATTTTTCCGAATCTTAAGTTTTGGTCTCGGCATAAAAACAACATTTTGAAATTCTGTTTTCTTGTCTTTTACTCATGCTCCGCCAGTACGGACAAAAACTGAATTTGTGTCGAAAGTATGAACAAACGCGCGTGAAAAAATTTTCCGTTGAAACAATTTTTTCTGTGCAGCTTATGTAGGGAAACCGTTTTTAGAAAAAAGAACATTTGCTTTGAGCCATGTGAGCCAAAACAAAAAAATTGGCCATGTGAAAGAATTTGGTAAGGTAATGTACAAAACCATGTCCCGAAGGTTAAAAACTGCTGAAGATAGTATAAAAAAATTTAATAAAATTTTGAATAGTACCATACATCGTCATATAATACGGATTCATTTCAGTTTTTGGGAATTACGATCAGCAAAAACGAGAAAGTTTTGTTTTGCAAACGTTACTGCTTATGACTTCACTTCTCATGAGTTTATTCAGGGTGCGAGTTTTAATACATTTTTGTATATCATACAGCTTTAAATCTTGTCACCTTTGAAAACGAGAGTATAATTTCATAAAAACACCATCGGCTCATCACCCCATATTAGATATTTTATTCATAGTTCTTTCTTCTTGAGTTTTTAATCAGGTAGAATTTTTTGAATTTAGCGTCGTTAACAGTGTTAACGTAATGTTTTTGTTAAAAAATCGGCAGTCAATCATTTCATCTTTCATAATGTTTTCCAACTTGCATACCAGCTTCTATCAGGACTTGTTTTGTTCAGTTTTGCAGTTTACCATAGCCAAAAAACAAACAAGAAACAATTGTTTTGTAAACGCCGCCAGTAAATCACTCTCATGCTTTAAATTGCATACCAGCCTCTAATTTTACCTATTTTGTTTAATTTTTGTAGTTTGCCGTTGGCAAGCAAAAAAAAGATAACGTAATATTTTGTGTAGGTAACCAGTTGTGTAAATGTTTCATTATACCGGTTTAGAGCAAATTGTTTTCAGTTTTGCTACAATTGTTGGCGAGCAAAGTACATAAAGATATTAAAATGTCAAAAATTCATCTATTAGCCAGCCATAGCTAGTAAAGCAGCCTAGGTTGGTTTAATGTGGCAGTTTCTGATTTTTTCTTTTTTTTCAGTCTTAAAATACTATATGTAAATAAACAATAGGTTTTCTGAGCAGCCAAAAATGAAGAAACTCAAACTTAATTCTACTTGCAACCGGGGGCTGTTCTCATGGTGAAAGGACCGAATGGGCGAAAACTCATGGGAAAGGGACCTAAAACAAAAACACTCGAAAGTCAATTATTAAAATGAATCAATTGCTGTTCAACTAAAAGAATTTAAATGAAGCAATGCTTTGCTTATTTTATAAGGAAACCCTTGAAATATAAATTTTATTCCAATTCGCCGGCGGTCAGTAACAATTTGATAATTTTGCGTATTTCTACCGTTTTTTTATTCGGCTAAATTGTTATTAAATCCCTGGAAATGTTTACTTTCTTTGAGGTTTTCACGCTTTCTTTCCAAATTTTGGAATACTGAAATCCGATTGCTGATGTTTATTTTCGTCCAATCGGCCCTTCGCTTATGAAGGATTCCACCCTTGCCGTTTTGATAATGGGTAGTTCTATGGATAGGCGCGCGTTTCTCCTGAAATTAGTATTAAAAGGCGCCTAAAGCGCCTTTAGAAAAAAAAGTAGGGTCCGCCAGCCAAGAATGGAGATCTCAAAACAGGACAAAGGGGTACCCTTTAGATCGGCATAAGATCGAACTCACCCACCTTAAATCCTCTGGTAGAATGAAGTATATGCAAACGATACGTACACAGGACTGTCTCAAGGCTACTATCCAGAGGCACGGGAAGATGTTAACTTATTCATACCGCGGTTCAAAAGTTGACTCACGTATTGATCACAAATTGTGATTGGGGTTGAAATTGAGATTTTTGACTCACTGAGTTGATCACAAATTCTGAACTTAGTCGTACGGGTTGCAAAAGTTTTTCATAGTCTTGCTGGTTTAAAATTGAGTAACTTTGGCAATAATTATGGCCTTTTTGTCGCGAGGGTCTGCAAACGCCAAATTGGGATCGACATTTCCACCATGTCCCCGGGCTATCAATCTTTTGCATCACAGAGAAAACGCTTTTAATTAAATACTTTTTAACTCTCTTTTACCTATCAAAGTTGGAATTTAAAATAAAAAGTTATTGAATAAAACATAGCTGCTTGTCAACCAGTTTCCCCTCTCGGTGAAATAAATTTAAACCCATAGCCCTTTTAATTCGCATGTTCAGACTTTTTTGTGAAAGCGTATCCATATTTCAGGACTGTAGAGTCCATGTCAGATTATTTCAGTACAGGTCACGAAGTTTGATAAATAATTTTATCGCTTATAGAAAATTTTACAGTTTTGGTTTCCAGTTTTTTAGCATAGCAATTTTTTTACCTGGATTTTGAAAGTCTCCATAAATTTCAAACAGAATTGATTATAATCGATTAGAGATGGATTATAATATGACTGTTTTTCGAAACAATAAAAATCATTATAAACGTTTATAATCGATTAATTATGAACGTTTTTTTGTCAAATTTTATTGAATTATAATCCACTACAATGGATTATAATCCATTATTATTCAACAAACGTCATCGCTTCTTTTCGTTTTAGTTTTGTGTTGTTTTGTGTGCTTTTCAGTTGGTTGTAATTTGTAACTAAAAGAAATTGTAATTTTGTAATTATAAACATCAGCGGATTTAGGAAGCCCCCACCCCCTCAGGTATTCAACCCCCTGCCTACCCAAAAAATATCCTCAATCCCCTACACATTTTTTTGAGATTCCCCCATTATTTTCCGATATCTATTTTGGGCTATAGACTCTAAAATTTTTTAACGGCACCTAATATATATTAAATTTAAGCAATTTTTTGGTCAAATTATTTCAAAAAGTGCACAAGTTTTCGAAACTTTGCCTGCTGCGCATACAATTTGACCAAAACAGTTTCTTTTTAATGCCTTGGGAGACACGGAGTCAATATAGTCAACCTTTATAGGGTTTAGGAGACTCCCCCTCACAAAAATTCTAGGTCCGCTTCTGGTATACTGATTCTTACTTCTTACTGATTTTTACTGTTTTCATGCAGAATCGCTAAATTATAACTCATTATAATTGATTTCTTTTGAAATAAATTTTTGATAGAAAAAGGAGTTAAAATCTATTAAAATAGATTATAAAAGAGATTGCAAGAGATTCTAAAAGAGTTTCAGAAAAGTTATAATCAATTATAACTGATTATTGTTTATTAAAACAAAGTGTCACCAAAGATGTTATCATTATAATGGATTATAAATCGTTTAACATCTAAAATTGGCGCTTATAATTGAGTAAAATTTTGCTAACAATAATATAAGCTAACAATATTATAATCGATTATTTTCTCTTTTTACTAAGTGCGGGTAAAACCACATGTCTGAACAAAAAACCCTTAAAACCACATAAAATCACATGTCTGAACAAAAAACCCAACATCCATATAAACCACAAGTAAGAACATAAAACCCATAAAAGCACATAAAACCACATGTCTGAATATAAAACCCATAAAACCACAAAGAAAACAAATTAGTCCCGGCTTATTGATACATCATTTTTCAAAATGAGTTATTTTACTGCAATGGAAACAAGATTTGGACCCGTTTGCGAAGCAACATCAGTTCTCTGGCCAAACTGCTCGCAGTTTTCTTGGTCTCCTCGCCTTCGTTTGATTGGTCAATATTCAGATTAATTGAGATCGACGTCTCCCATTTGTAATCGGGTCTAGTGGAAACATCCGTAAGGTCGAGCATCCGATATTGCATAATAATTAAGAACTAATGTGACGTACGAGAACTTCGAAAGAGAAAACAATTTCACTAAGCAGGGTTCAAATTCGTAAAATATACTTAATGTTAACACCATGCTAATTATTTATCACTTTCTCAATTGAATTATGTTGCATTTTTTAAACTGATTCAGAGGTTGGAATGAAAAATTTGAGGGGTTTGAAAGACTCTTAATTTATTTTCTTGATAATGATAGTTTATACTGGTGTTGGACAACTTGCTTCAGTTTGAAGTCAATCAAAAATCATGTTTGAAAATCAATCGAAAATCATCTTTTAAGCGAGTGATAGATTTTGAATGTTTGCCCTACTATTTGAAAATGTTTGATATTTGTTCTTAGGAAGCTTTTTTTTCAAAAATTTCCCCAGTTTATTGTTTGTCGGATGTTTGACACATGTCGGATGTCTGCACGATACCCGTGTTCATCATAAAATTTCTTCGTTCGCTGTTTCGTAGCCTTGAAACAAACAACATTCATTTGGCTTCTGACGAGTTCCAACCCCAGCCGTCCCTTCCACTCCCCCAAAAAGACAGAATAAAAAGATTTACAATATATACACATGGCATTTGGTCTATCAAATATTTAAAAGATAGTCATTAAGTTCAAAAGTGACTTCGGACTAAAATTGCACTATTAGTGAGATTAAGTTTGAGGTATAAATTAACCTGATGTTTCGAAAAAATAAATTCCTGCAACTTACCTCCCTATGAAATGAAAAAACTTTTAAATGGAAGAATGGAATAGCTATTGAGCTAGAATCACATCATGAAAGAAATATTCCAGTCAATTGTGCAAGCTTAACATCGATTATTTCCTCAATTACAGGAAGATATCAAAATGATCGAAAGTAACTTTCAACCGAAACTGAAACTTGCGCAGTTTATTAGAAAACTAGTGGCTTGGGGTATAAATTAAAGTATACAAATTAAGCAACATGAGAAAGTCCAAGAATTAATTGTTCTGAGAACAGAAAAACTTCATTTGCGAAAATATCATGTTACCTGCGTGCCGAAGCCCTGGTTTTTGTCTTCCACCTTAATTTTATACTTAACAAAATATTAAACATTTTTTTTTGTTTATCTAATTTGAGTACAGGATCAGTGAACCAAATTAGAACAACAAACAAATTTTTCAATTGGGATAGGTAGTGAGTGCAATATGACAAATTGTCGCCGATTTTTCATGAAATTAATATATCTTTCAGTGTGGGATTAATTTTCATTGTTTTTGTACTAGTGCACAGTTTTAGAAACCTCGTGCTTGGTCATAACAAAAATTTTAACCAAGTACGAGGGTTCAATCTCATGTTGGAAAGTAACGTTCATAGGAAATTTCTGTGTGGTTTTTCTTAACTTACGAAACCTTAAACAACGCCAAAGAAGGTCAATACACTGAACGTTCAGACTCTCTAATAGATGAACCACAAAAACAAACTGTCCAATAGAACCCATACAAGTCAAAGATAAATAGGCAATTTTACACAAAGCAGATATGAACAGCGCATATAATCAAATGCTCTTGATGAACAACCACGGCGACTAACACAACTTATTATTGGAAATCAACAATACGAAACTAATGGATTATTCTGTGGTATTTCCACCACCAGCTTTTTCCGTAATTGTTAGCAAATTGTTTTGATCATTATTTCTAAGTAAAAAAGTAATCACATAATCGGCCAAAGTATTTATACAATCACAAACAAAGGCAGCAATGTTCTAAGTCTTAGAAAAATATCACCAAATATCACCAAACAAATCAACCAAATGCGGAATCGGAACAACACTCCAACAATCTCACCATGGAACAAATAATCTGAATCTAATCTCAGCCGACTCATCACTTCTTACACAAGCATAACTGCGACCCTCTAAGGTCATGAGGAAGTCTACAGCTAAATGATTTCACAAACAGAGAACAACTTTTTAGTGTTTTGATCAAAACAACCAATAACTTTGTTCACAGATCATAAAACTATATTTTGGGCAATCAAATATTTTAAAAAAATTAGTCAATAAGTTCAAAAGCGACAACTTTGCACTAAAAATGCGCTATTAAAGAGGTTCAGTTTGATGTATTAATTAACCTGATGTTTCGAAAAAAAATTAATTTCTCTAATTTACATCCCTATAAAAAGAAAAAAAAATTTTGAAATGAAGAATGGAATAGCTATTGAGCTAAAGTCTTATCATGAAAGAAACGTTCCAGACAGTTGTGCAAGCTTGACTTGAATTATTTCCTCCATTACAGAAAGATATCAAAATAATCGAAACTATTTTTCAACCGAAATCGAAAATAATCAAAAATAATTTGGGAAAGTTTATTAGAAATATAGTGGCTCGGGGTATAAATAAAACTATAATAATTAAGTATCAAGAGAAAGTCCGAGAATAATTGTTCTGAGAGCAAAAAAACTTCATTTGCAAAAATCATGTTACTTGCATGTCCGAAGCCCTGATTTTTGTCTTCCACCGTAGTTGTTGATTGGTTGTTTATTTCCAATTGTTTAAACAATTTTTGTTACTTATCTAATTTGGGCTCAGGAACAGTGAACCGTACGTTTTTTCAATTGGGATAGCTAGTGGTGCAATATGACAAGTTCTCGCAGATTTTTCATGAAGTTTTTTATCTTCCTGTGTGGGTTTAATTTGTTTTTGTTTTTCGTACTAGTGCACAGTATTAGAAACCTCGTGCTTGCTTAAAACAAAAACTTCATACAAGCTCGAGGGTTCAACCTTATTATGGAAAGTAACATTCAAACATTTTCAGTGTGGTTTCACTTAACTTACCAAACCTTGAATAACGCCAAATTAGGCCAATACACTGAAAGTTCAGACTCTCTGATAGATGAACCACAAAATAATTGTCGAATAGAACCAATACAAGTCATACTCGCAATGATAAACAGACAATTTTATATAAAGCATATATGAACAGCGCATATAGTCGAATGCTCTTGATGAACAATCACGGCGACTAACACAATTTTTTATTGGAAATCAACAATAAGAAACTAATGGATTACTCTATGGCATTTCCACCACCAGCTTTTTCCGTATTTTTTAGCAAAACGTTTGAACATTAATTCTAAGTAAAAAGTAATCACATATTCGGTCGAAAAATTCATGCAATAAAAAACAGAGGCAGAAACATTCCAAGTCTTATAAAAATATCAGCAATTATTCGACAAAGAAAATATGAAAGCATCCCCACCTTTTTGAAGATTTTTTCTCACCTTAGTGAAGATTTTAGGACACAAAAATTTGAGTTGAAAGACAAACAATGAATCCTCTTAAAATCAAGATTGTTTGCTGTTTTAAAATACCACTATCATACAATAAAAACTAATTCCAGGAGCTTTGGGAATTTTAAGTTTTTAAGTTAATAAGTGTACAAATTGCAACTATATCTTAAACATTTTTACAATAATTACGCCGAAAAAACAATTTAAAATGGACAATTGAACATCCAAAAAGATTTGTTGAAGATAAAAACTTCATTAACGATCAAATTTCAAAAATTCTCCTTTACCCAGATATATTAGTTTCACGCAATGTGTGATGCGATCAAATGCGGAATCGGAACAGCACTCCTACAACCTCACCATGGAACGAATAATATGAATCTAATCTCAGCCGACTCATCACTTCTTACACAAGCAGAGCTGCGGCCCTCTATGGTCTTGTGGAAGTGTACAACTAAAAATTTTACATAAACAGAGAACGAACTTTAACTTTTATTCACAGATCATAACACAGATCATAATAATACAGTTTTTCTTTTCACACTGAAAACAAACCCAAAACATTGCCAGAAACTCCCAGTAAAAATACTCTACCAGAGTTTCCAACACGAAAAACCCCAGTTGAAATCCCCCAAAACAAAAAATTCTTCCTCGCTCAAGATGAAACATCACCACGACTAGAATGCACAATCGCAGTAGAAAATCAATGCAGATAGCAAGCAAAAAAATAAGCTTAGATTGTCAGACTAATCACTATCAAGTTGACTCTAAAGAAAAAAACCCATTTAAACCCATTGCTTTGCCAGATACTCCCGGTAAAAATACTCTACCAGAGTTTCCAACACAAAAAACCCCAGTTGAAATTCCGCAAAACAAAATATTCTTCCTCGCTCAAGATGAAACATCACCACGACTAATATGCACAAACGCAGTAGAAAATCAATGCGGATACAAGAAAAAAAATAAGCCTAATTTGTCAGAATAATCACTATCAAGTTGACTCTAAAGAAAAAAAACACATTTAAAACCATACCATACTCCTCATGGATTAAAAGCAATGTAAAAAACATCACAAAAAGGCAAAAACTACAATTAGCAGAACATACCCATTAATAGAAAAAGAAGATATAGTGGACACAATCAAATTATCAGGACCATTAGATACAAACAAGAAGTACACAATAATTATAGTCGATTTCGAAGACCCTGTTGATAACATCCCACCAAGAAACCAAGAGACACAAAGCATTTTTTCACCACGTACACTAACAAGGACAAACGGTTCAATGTAAAAGAATCAAAACCTAGCCCCTTAACACACCAAATGAAATCCTGGCACAAAACAAAACCAAATCTGCGAAAAAAATATACGCGTCCTAGGAAAAAGATAAATCGAAAACATCAGAAAAGCAACAAACAACATGACAAAAACTATGCCAGAAAAAACACTGTAAAAACACCACTTCTACAGGAAAGACAGATGAAAATGACAAGGAAACTTTAATGTCCTGAAAATAAGGGAAAATAAGATCAACGCAAATGATCTAGACTTCGAAATCAACCAACGAAAAATTAATAAATTTTCAGATCTCAATCAAAGATACTGAAAACTTTAGGACACATCAGACAAATTCTTTAACATCACAAACATCTCTTTGAATTCTTAAACTTTTTTTCACCACGTACACTAACAAGGACAAACCATTCAATACAAAAGGTCCTCTTTCACCCTCTAAAAAAACTCATACATCTCGGTAAAAGTAGACGCTTTCGCACTTTCTGTAGCATCAAATCCCGAAAACATTTTGTAAAAGTTATTAAGCCTATAGCATAATTGGATTTCCCGAAGTCCTTGTCACAGACAACGGAACAAATGTCATAAATAACGAAATTTTTACATTATGTCATTTGAATAACATTGAAAATGAACATAAAACATCACACGTCCCATGAACTAATCAATTAACAGAAGAATTGAACTGTTTCCTCCATGAAAATTTACGAAGTAGAAGAAACCTAAATGATAAAAAAACACTGAATGGTCAATGGACGTAAAATTATTCCCACTGGCATATAGTTCTCATAAAACCACAACTTTTGGATTATCACTCTTTTAAATAACTTTCAATCAAAAACCACGAAAATCAATCATGTTCAAAGCAAACGCATCAAAAAACTTTGTCGACCAACAAAAAAAATAAAGATATTTTTC